CTATCCAAAAGTCTACTGGAAACCATCTGAATAGCGGGAAGGTGATTCCAATAAATAGGAAGTTCCGACAGTGGAGGTATGTAGGAACAGGTAATAAAAATTGAGCTACCTTTGATAGATAGCTTCACACAGAGGAATTCAACATCGTTGCATTCCTCGAAGGTTAATAATTCTGACGTGAGTGAGGAGTCCACCGCTATAAGAACTCCACCCCCGCGTCTGATAGGGCGATCTAGCCGATATACCGTGAACACAGCTGGAAAAACTTCGGAGCTCAGAACCTCCGGTTTTAGCCAGGTTTCTGTGAGCACAATAACCTGAGATGCAAGCGAAAGGCTATCAGAATACAAGTTAGGAAGCTTACTACGTAAGCCTCTTGCATTCTGATAGGAAATACCTAAGGAGTAGGTTATTTTTTTGGGTCGGGATTGGAAGACGTAGAAGGCGCAGTGGTAACATCAGGCCTGGGAAGAGTTATTCCTACAGGCCGCTTTTTCTTTTTCTTCGCCTCGAACTCCTTAACAACTATGTACTCTGGCCAGAAGTTGGGAGAGCAAATAGTGTTAAAGAGCTCGTTAGGAACATTTATTTTGAAAGATGAAATGTCCCTTGCGTAAGAAAATTTGAACTTTTCCACCTTTATCTTAATTTTTTCGGCTCTGGTTTTGCCTTGTATAAAGGCGAGAACATCTTCCGATGTTTGGTCAGGGGAGAGCCGGTATTCCGGGCCTAACACCCTGGGCAGATATATTTGTGTGGACGGGACTTTGAGGGGTCAATATTTGGGACCCCCCAGGGGATAAAACAGAAATTACCGGCGGTACGGGCACTCCCGGTGCACATTCGGATACCGAATCTTTCCTAGCCCTCGATCTCAGCACTCTTGGAATTAATGCTGAGGTCGAGGGCTGTGCCGTGGGAGGCTGCTGCTGAGAGCCTGTTGCAGGTAGTTGGGGTCCGTCTACATGCTGCCCACCAATAGCAGTTTTTTTGCGCCTAGGAGACTCATTTAATAGCGTAAGGCTATTAAATTGGGTGTCCAGCGCCAAGAACATATCAAGAGTTTTAAGAAAACTCGTTAAAATGCCCTTAAAACCGCTTTTGGTTTGCCACATGGAAGTCGTCATTTCCCTTTCTACATCGCGACAGGCCTCACAACAGTAACGCAGGCCGATGTTTTTCCTTACATCGTCCACCGTCCGAGCTGCAACCCCAATACACTTGGCGTGCATGACGTTGTTGCACAGCCAGCAGCCGATTGTAAGGTCACCTGCAGCAATTGCCTTTTTGCAGGTTTTAACGGAACAGACAATATTTGAGGACATTATAACGACTTATCACTGTACTTTCAATTGAAAAAAAAAACAACAGAGCTCTGAAGAAAGAAGCGAGAGCGAGAACGGGAGAGCGTAATAGATTAGATAAGATAAGAAGTGCAGCGGCACAACTAAAGCGAGAGAGTTGGAGAGCGTGGGAGATAAATAGATGAAACGTTTAGCTGTTGCGACGGCGCAAACAAAAGCTAGACGAAGAAGGCACAATAAGGAATTCAAAATATGCAAAAGCTAGCACTAGCAGCACAACTAAATTGGAGAATAAAACCAATTATATACACAAAATTAGGATAGCTGCATGCACACGCGAAGTGAACGGGAAGTTATAAACACAAATTAGAAAATTTAAGTTAACCCCGGTGGTTAGATTGAAACTTTTATACAAAACGAGAGCGCAAGAAAAAACACGTCCGTTCACTTGGAAAGATGATATGATTCAAAACGATTTTGTGGATATTTATACTCTTGCAGGGTATTATAATTTCAGTCAGAAGTTTGCAACGCAATGAAGGAGGCACCTCCGACCATATACAGTATATATATTCTTGATCAGGATCAACAGCCGAGTCAATCTAGCCATGTCCGTCTGTCCATCTGTCCGTCTGTCCATCTGTCCGTCTGTCCGTTTCTACGCAAACTAGTCTCTCAGTTTTGAAGCTATCTAAATGAAACTTTGCAGTTAGCCTTCTATATACTCTCACTCGAATATACATATGTCGGAACGGGACAGATCGGACGACTATATCATATAGCTGCCATAGGAATGATCGGATAATTTTTACAAAAAAAATTATAACAATTTCCGTTTTCAACAGAATTTGATCAAATTTGAGATGTAGCCATTCTACTATACTCTACAATTTTGTATAAAATTTTATGAAAATCGGACTACTATATCATATAGCTCACATAGGAACGATCGAGAAATTGATACAATTAAATTTATAACTTTTTCAGTTTTCAGCTGATTTTCATCAAATATGAGGTATAGCCATTTTATATGTCTTAAATTTTGTGTCAAATATTATGAAAATCGGTCTACTATATCATATAGGTGCCATACAAACGATCGTTTGATGTAGAGGAAAAATGCAAATCTGCGAATGTAAAACTGCAAATATAATATGTATAGGTGAATGAAATGAAAGCAGGTATTACTTCATTGTTTTTTAACACAAATAAATATAATTTATATTGTTGGGATTCCAAGTCATAGAAGTCATAGAAGTCATAGAAGTCATAGAAGTCATAAAATTTAAACACCTGTCGTTTGAAAGTTATTATTAACTGAAAAAAAAGGTGATTGCAATAAAACTAGCGCGGACCGGGACTTTTCAGCCCAAGTTTTAAAGGTGCAGGAAGGATTTGTCATAAGACTCATAACTAAAATTTGTCCCTTGGAAGAAATAAAGTCTGTTGACAAATCTGAAGCTTACCCTGAGCCAAAAAGAAAAAGCAGAGCAATATCGGCAATGTGCAAGATCGGGTTTGTCATGGCGATTTTATTGTTTATATTGAGCTGTCAATTTTCTAACGCATTGCCAAAAAATGTAAAACCAAGTTATTCAATAGAGAGGATCAATAAGACTTCAGCAATATATTTTAAGATTATTACAAAAGTTAATGCGCCTATAAAAGAAATAAGAAAAGTTTCCGAAAGGCTTCATAGCTTTAAAGAGAAATGTAGTATAGTTTTAAATAATAAGCAAAGTCACTTATCGGGACCAGAAGAAAACAACAAATTATTTATGATGCAGCCAAGATCCAGAAGCAACCGTGCCTCGTTCGAATTTATGTGTTTATTGTATCATATTTTATTTGGCATGATGGATGAAAATGACAGAGAACAGTTACAAGAAAATATGAAGAATTTATTACCTAACCAGAACAACCTTGATAAGCTAATTCAGAAACAAACATCAGGGGTTGATTTAAATACTAATTTATTAAAAAGAACAGCATATCAGTTGGTCTTTAATAAACCGCCTTGGTTCAACAAAGAGCTAGCACGCCTAAAAATGTAAAGTCTAGACTTTATAATAAATTTAAACTCACTGGTTCCCACACTGTTCTCTCTAGTTATCTAAGCGCTCGGTCGAACTTTACCGTTAATGCTAAGTGTTATACAAATTATTTGACTTGTTGTAGGGTTCAGTTTTGCGCAGGACTAAAAACAGTTTTATACTTTAAGTTTTTATACTTTAACATTAAGCGTAAACCCAATTTATATCTTTCCTCGCTTGCATTTAATAATAATACCGCACACGATGATCAGGCGGTCGCTGATATTTTTGCGGAGTTCTTTAAAACAACATATTTTCCCTTAACCACTTCAAGTCAGATATATTCTTTTACTATGCCAGTATATTCATCAGGTCCCGATTAAATACCAGGCTGCGTGCTAAGGTATTGTGCTGAGTCTATGTGTCATCCACTTCTTAAGTTGTTTACCTTATCCTTAGGGTCCTCCGAATTTCCCCGTATTTGGAAGGAATCTTTTGTCTCCACAAAAAAGGTAGCAAATCGGTTCCCAGTAACTATAGGGGGACCTTTAAGTTTTCACTCCTCACTTGTAACATTTATGCAGATGACCTTCATTGCGCTGTAAACTTCTGACTGAAATAATAATACTCTGCAAGGGTATAATAATAAAGGATACAATTATAAAAAATACAGTCCACTTTACCGTTGTGTTAAAAAGTAAAAAAAAAATGCATTTCAAGCCATTGTAAGCGAAAAGTTTAAAATAAGTTCAATTTATTCGAACTAACTTTTGCAATTAAAAATAGCAAAAAAATAGCCCTTCGGAACAATGTTCCCACATGAACACGAATAACCGCAGCCGCAATATACTGTCCAACTTTTGTTAGAGCGCTTGAACATAAGATATACATATCTGAGAATTTTCATCCCAAAAAGCGGTCGCAAAGGTATCCTCTTAGATATGAAATATCGTGCAATGAAGCATTTCCGCTCCCCCATAAGATTATTTACCATGTCTAGGGAACATATGACCAATGCGTTGGACCATTTTGAGTTAAGATAAGACTATGTGATTTTAATGTTAGCTAGTCCTTTCTTAGACTTAAAGAAATAAATTCAGTTGGAATACAACTAAAAAAAAGACGTCTTATATTTAAAAGCTTTTTTCACTGCCATAGGAACGATCAGGAAATCATAATGTGTCAATGCCAGTTTTTTCTTTTGTTGAAAATTACAAAATTAAAGCAGTATACATCGCTCCAAAAAAAACCAATCTCTGTACACAAAGTACTAGTATTGTAGAAACATCGCGAGAAATTTTAATCTAGTGGAACATTCATTATCAAAAATCAAATCCAAGAAAAAAATTAACTTATTATTATAATTAAAATTTCAGAATTTAGAAATACAATTTTATGAAAATCAGACGACTGTATTATATATCTTATAGAAACAATCATTAAATTTAAATGAAAATGCACTACTGTGATGTAAAAGGGTAAATTTAAAACTGTCGGTGACTAACGAAAGCAAGCAGAAACATACTTCGCTGTTTTTAACATAAATATATATATTTTATATAGTATTAATTAGTAATGATCTCTTGATCTGATACTCCAGAATACATATTTACGAAATGAAATTCTTCATACATAATGCATTCAATTTATTTTTATGTTTCAGAACTGAACAAGAATCCAGTGGAAGGATTCTCAGCTGGCTTAATTGATGAAAATGATATATTTCGCTGGGAAGTTTTAATAATAGGACCCCCAGATACACTTTAGTAAGTTATCACATTAAATACTTTAATTCAGGTCCACAATCTTACGCCATTGACCTATTTAAAATAGTCATATTTATTAAAAGTATATACACATTTTTATACTTTCAGTCAGATATTTTTTTCTTATATCATCTCTTTTATTCTGATCAGTATAATTAGCTGATCAAGTATAATTATATATATATATTATATATTTATATATATATATTATATATTTATATATATATATTATATATTTATATATATATATATATTATATATTTATATATATATATATATTATATATTTATATATATATATATTATATATTTATATATATATTATATAGCATAATATAAATACGTATATAAATATATATATCTCCTATATCATGTCCTCTATTCTTGATCAGCCGAGTCGAACCAGCAGTGTCCATGTTTGTATAACAGTAAGTTGTCAAACTCTGTTGAGGCCCTACACAATTTTCAGGAAAATTTTCCAACATTTTTTTTAGCAACAAAAACATTCGCCTGGAAATATTAAACCATTGAAAAGAAATTGCGTTCAAATCGTTCAAACCGTTCTCAACTCATGTGACAATCCCAAAATTTACATAATTTGTATATATATATTTCTATATAAATAATAAAATACAAAATAAATATACATTAAATTTAAATAAATAAATTGAATTTAAATTTATATAAATATATGCTGCACATCGAAACCAATATTCGTAATAATCAAACACAAATGAACGTGTAAATAAAGTGCATAGAGACGGACCCAATATTCACAGGTTCGTCCTGCAGGAAAGCTACTGCAGAATAGATGAAATTTTATCCGGAGATTTTTGTAAAACACCTTCCTTAATCCCAAAATCTACGGCGGCCGATGAGGTTAAATCGTCCTCTTTGTGGTGTCAAGTCAAGAAATTAGAATTGCCCACGAACATGAGTCACTTTACAGAAAGACTCCTTTGCTGCTGAATTCTCAAAACAAATGTTGAAGCTGGCAATGGCAATATTCCTTTTGATGCTTTGACTGGAATGATATCATTCGCGGGAAAGAAAGTTTTCCCCGCCGTTTCCCAAAATTATAACAATCTAAATCGTATTAGCTACTACTAGCAACGAAGAATAAGGATGCCCATTATTCGCTGGAGAACTTCATTCATACAAATCCGTCGACGGGCTGACCAACGAGGATGAAGCAACTAACTATCCGACGAATTTTTGAATTTTTTGACTTGCTTAATGTGCCAGGAATTCCGCCGCATAATTTACTGCTGAAGGTTGGCTCAGTCACAATTGTAATTGTAATGGTACAAGGTTGTGCAATGGTACGCCGTTGTCCGTCAAGAAGGCAAATAATAATGTAATTCAAGCAACAATCATCAAGGGCAGATTCAAAGGAAAGGAAGTCAATAATTCCAAATTATCTTTCATTTATGATTTAGGCGAATTAAGTTCCCAGTTCGGTCGGCTATTGCTATGACAATCAATCCGAAGGCCAATTTTTGGAAGTCTGTGGAATTTCTGATTTTTGCGTGGTCACTTGTATAGGGTGAGCCATCTCGAGCTTCGGAATAGAAACACTGAATAGCTTTGACGTTTGTGAAACGATTGGCTTGTGTAGGTACGTAAGAACGTATTGAAGAGATGACTTTGTTTATCGAAAATGGGCGTTTAATAGTGAAAACGCAGCGTGCGTATCGACGAAAGTACAGAGGCAAAAAAGCGCCTCCTTCCTTTCATTTGGCTGAGAATTTTTATGAACACGGTTCAGTGGCGAACGGTAGGCCACACATCCGAAGGATGTTTGAGAATTTGGGAATGTTCCCGTAAAAAATACAGATAACCCAACGATTGTTGACCGAAAACAAGTCGCGGCGGTTGGCATACGCCCTAAAAGTAGCCCAGATTCTCGAAAGCCAAATTTTTGTCGTGAAATTTTGATGACCGACGAAGCGCATTTCATCCTGTCTGGTGGCGTCAATAAACAGAACTGCCGCATTTGGGGCACTGAAAATCCTATCGTCATTCATGAGGAACCATTACACAACAAGAGAGTGACAGTTTGGGCGAGTATTTGTGCCTCAACCATCATCGGCCCTTACTTCTTCAAAAAATGGCGAAACTTTCGACGGCAAGCGATATCGGTGGATGCTGGCGTACATTGTGTGCCCGGAGATACGTCGAACGGGTCTAGAAAACGTCTGGTTTCAGTAGAACGGGGCCCCATGTCACACAGCAAACGAAACCATGGTGTTTTTACAGCGACAATTCCCTGTACGCGTTGTGTCAAAAAGAGGCGATATCGACTGGCCGCCTCGTTCGCCTGATTTAACCCCGCCGGATTTCTTTTTGTGGGGCTATCCAAAAAGCAAAGTATACATAAGCAAGCCCAAGATCATCACAGAGCTCAAGGAGAGTCGCACCAAAATGGCCAATATATCGCCCGATGTGCTCGAGAAAGTCATGGAAAATGCTCGAAAATTGACACTTTTTGCCATCAAGAACAAAGGTAATCACTTAGTCGATATTGTGTTCAAAAACTAACTCAAATAAATAGTAAAGAATCAATCTAAATAAACAAGAAATATTATCCATGAATTTTTTTTTTTTTTTCAAAGTTATTAAAAATTTTCATACCGAAGCTCGAGATGGCGCACCCTGTACGTTCGTTCGGTTTTAATTTTTGCTCCGACGTAAAAAAAAGGTTGTCTTTAAAAATAACTGTAACAGCCAAGTCGATCAAGATGAAAGTCAGCTTGAAAATAAAATATAAAATTTTTATAATATCTTCAATTTGTAAAACGCTGATCAAACAATTCCGTCTTTATCTCACATAATACTGAGAAACGTAATGTGGGATATTCTTCTACAAGTTCTTGGCAAGTGGGGAAATAATACAAAATTTATTTTTTAACTAATTTCCAAAACACCAATTTTTCTTTGGAATCCATAAATTCTTAATAACATTGTCTCTGTTTCGGTGTTTGAATCCGGAGCTTTAAATATAACTCGTGATGTCAGTTAAAAATGCACCCAGAAACAAACAGAAAAAAATTTTAATTATTCCGACTTTTTGAGGTTCTGCCTAAGAAAGATTAAAACTCAGAGAAAATAAAAATAGGTAAAAAAAAACTTTTTACAATGTCTTCAATCGTTGATTAAAATCATTGTTTTGTAATGTTACACTATAATTAGGCAGTTGTTCAACCGACAACGATGGATGTGTGATAAGTAGGGCTAAACTGTGGAAACAAACTAGCAAGCTCGATTATAAGCGAGTTTTAGGGTTTCATAGTGGTGAGCGAGTAGTACTTTTACCATATGTTTTGTCGATTAAATACAGTGAAACGATTCCTCGCCAGCCAGCAGTGTGAATGTTCAACGATAAACTAGTTGAGACATATATTTTATTTACATGGAGTGTATAATTATTGGAATTTCCATGAGCAAGAAAATAGTAAGTAATTTCGATTAACGATTCTTCTATCGCACATCAAGTCGATAATTTGTAGACAATTGATGTGTCCCACGGTTTTATTTTAGTCTAGTTTATGCATATGTTTATAATTCCCACGACTGTATCTATTTTATTATTTTTTGGCTTTTAGTATATTTATCTTAAACATTGCAATGTATGTTTAACATAAAACTGTTTAACTTAAAAAGTTTTTTACCTATTTTTATTTTCTAGTTTTTAGTTTTTTTATCCACCCTAATGCCATACATTTCTCAGCGCGTTTTAACCCTTCACCTTAACTTGGCTGGTGTACCGCTAACGACGTATCATATTTAGCCATCCTAACGCCACACAGTCCTCAACACGATACAAAATTTTGACTTGGCTGGTGGATTTAGGCTGGATTAATCAGATACCTAAATTACAGATTCAATTTCTAAATTTAAATCTTATTATTATACGCCATTTAGTGGCTGCGCCCATCTTAAATATTGAGGTTGTATAGTGCACTGTATTCTTCTTGTCAAGCCCTTGTATGTATTTGATACCCATATTGGTGGGATTGATAAACAATTGATATCAGCCATTTGGTAGCGGCGGCCATCATAGATTTCAATTTTGCATAGTAAATTGTATTCTACTTGTTGAGACCTTTCATTTGATACCCATGTTGATGGGATTGATAAAACCTAAGTTATCCGCCATTTTGTAGCGGCGGCCATCTTGAATTTATAATGATAATGAATAAACATAATTGTATTGTCACCAAAATCCAAAGTGTATACAAATTTTCAGATTAATCGGTTGACAGGAAACGGGTGAAATTTGAATTACTAAATTTGACCCAAGAATAAATAAAACAAACGGGGTGAGCTAAATAAAACCATTTAAAAAACGTTTCCGCTCGTCCGCTTCTACGCAAACAATCAGTTTAGAAAGTATCTGAATAAATGTAGCAGATTCTATTCTTATTAGTATATATCGAGACTGTTATGTTCTGATTCTGATTTTCCCATTTTGTCAACTTTTTTAATTATTAAGGAATTTTAGCTTATTTTTTTTTTAAATCAGACGACGTATTTTTCTTAGGTCCCCTTTTATTCCCAAATAGTTTCAACTGTCTGCTTTTAAAAAAGGTTTTGCATTGTAAAAGTTTTACTAATAAGGGTCTGATCAATTGTTGTTTAAGGAAAAAGCATTCGTGGCCACGACAAACAAGAAATTATTTTCAATTGTAGTCAGCTGTTCTGGTGGCAGTGTTGTAAAATCTTCATTAAATTTATTTATATTTATTTGTGTTAAAAAACAATGAAGTAATACCTGCTTTCATTTCATTCACCTATGCATATTAACATATATTTGTAATTTTACATTCGCAGATTTGCATTTTTCCTCTACATCAAACAATCGTTTGTATGGCACCTTTATGATATAGTCGTCGGATTTTCATGAAATTTGACGCAAAATTTAAGACTAATATAAAATGGCTAATTTGATGAAAATCAGCTGTTAAATTTATAGTATTTTCAGTACCAGTTTGTTTACAT